AGAACACCATGGCGCACCGGTCAAGAAGGACTGTCGCGCAATTAAGGTAAACTGAACGGATTCGCGACGCGGAGGCACGTGCACTACGAAGGCAAAATCTGGAGTTGAGAAGGGACGAACAAGCCCAGAACACTATGTCGCACCGGTCAAGGACTGTCCCGCAATTAAGGGAAACTGAACGGGTTCGCGACACGGAGGCACGTGCACTACGAAGGCAAAATCTGGAGTTGAGAACAGATGAGCAAGCCCAGAACACCATTGGGCATAGGACCAGAAGGACAGTCCCAGTTTCAAGAGAAACTGAACGCATTCGTGATAGACTTGCGAGAACTGAAAGACGCTTAAACCCTATTACAAGACGCCGGGAGCAACTAAGAAATACTTCCCAAATGAGAATTACTCGACAGCAAAGTTTGAGACGGGAGGAAACTCTTAGGCAAAACGCACTTGAACAAGTCCAGCTTCACAGATGGAATCCAGAAAATCGAAGAAGAGAAAACGAGAGGCAGCGTTTGAGGATTGCAGCGAACCGAGAAAATCTGCCTCCAGAAGCACTAGAAGAAGCTCGTAATACTCAGCACCAATTACGGTACTTGGCGCAATATGCGCAATATGAAGCCAAAATGAAAGAAGGGCCTACTATGGTGTGCGTGTGTTGTGGTGGAACTTGGTTTCCCCACCAAACCAAAAAATTTAAAAAGTGTAACAAAGCACCCAAATCTCGACGTCAACACAATATTTTACTTGGAAAATGAATTTCCGAGCTTATCGGAAAAGTTCACATTTTGTCTGACATGTTACCGTCAAACAATGTCAGGGAAAATTCCAAATATATGTCTTGCGAATGGACTGCAGTTTGTAGACATACCAGATGCCTTGAAAAATTTAACATGCCTGGAAGAACGCCTCATATCTCCAAGGATTCCATTCATGAGAATTGTATCTCTTGGATACGAACGCCAATGTGCTATTAGAGGAGCAGTTGTAAATGTGCCTATATCAGTGGTCGAGACAGTGACCGCTCTTCCTCGCAGATTTGAAGACACTCACGTTGTCCAAGTTCTTCTGAAACGTCGCTTGGAGTATAATCATAGTTTTATAACGGAAACTATAAGGCCATCGAAAGTAATAGCAGCATTACAGTGCCTTATGACATCGGAACTATACCGCTTGCACAATATTCAGGCATCTGGAGGATGGTTGGCAGACGTTCGGAACCATTAATCAGTGCCTTTTATCGCCGATCCGGCAGATGAGCATATCGTCAGAGATTTGCAGACGCGCCATGAGGTAAATGTTGGAATTGCGCTAATCGGAGAAGATGAGATAAATACAGGTGGTCAAGAAACACTTTTGGATAACGAGCTCATCGAAAACCTTCCATTAGAGGGCCGAATTCCTATCGATATA